CAAGCAGCAGCAGGCCTGGGCTTTAGCCCCTGCCCCTATTTCTGCTGTCCTAGGTCACTCTGTAATCTATGCAGGGAAGGAGGATCCATACACACAATGACAACTACCCCTGACAGCTATTCAGTGCCCCAAAAGAGACTGGGAGGAACCAGGGGGTCCCAGAGGGGAATCTTCTAGGAAAAGTCAGACCCTGCCTGGGCTGAGCAGAGGGGGGCCACCTGCCCAGAGAACTTCTTGCAGAATGAAGGGGCTTCAGAACAAAGTCCCTAACCCCACCTAAATGTCCCTTGCTGAACCCTAGCCCCACGTCACATCCAAAGTTCACCAGAGATTGGGCCTGGATCTCCTGACAGGCCCAGATCCGTTCCTGCAGCTGGCGCCTGGTTCTGGGGCGTGAGGTGCAAACAAATCCCGAGGTTTTTCTGGCAGCGCTAGAGCCTTATGTCTTCTGGGCTTTGTCAGCTCGGCAGATGCCTGTGACAGGAGGCCGCAAGGGGAGGGCCCCGGCTCCGCAGGTTCAGCCCTGCGTTAGAGCACCTATTTTGGAAGCTCCAGCGAGCTGACCAGGAGAGGCTGTGCAGCCAGGCCGCGCTGGAGTCGCTCTGCCGAGCCAGGGCCCTGCTTCTGGCTGCCAAGGACAGAACACAGGCATGCGCCCGGGAGCCAGCAGGCCTGACACACGTCCCAAAACATGACTCGGGCTCCAAAATAAAAAGCCAAGACAGTCTGAAGGAAAGAGAAACATCAGAAGCAAGAAGGAAGGAAAGGGAAGGGGGAGGGGGAGAGGGAGAGAGGCAAACAGAGGAGGACAGGAAGAGGAAGAACAAACGATTGGGGAAGAATCTGTAGCTCATCTCCAAGAGTTACCCTCCCTGGCATGCAGAGGCCCTGCAGATTACAAGACCAAGAGCATTTCCAGACTCCAGCAGGCAAGTGCAGCCTGTCGCTGACGGGAGCCCTGGTCTCTTCTCTTGTGGACCAGCTGCTCCTCCCTTGGAAGGTCTAACAGCTCCCAAATATCTACTTTTGCCCCTACCTGGTCTGTGTCACAGTGGGATCAGCCCTGGGACTGGCCCAGGAGAGGAGAGGCAACGGAGGAATGCGGGTAAGCATAAGGTCTGGCCAGGACCAGGAGTCCACATGGCAGAGCTGGGACTGAGGCCACTGGCCAGCCAGTCTCTTCCACACAGGCAGGACGCCACCGGCTCTTTCCAGGGCCCAGTTCTTTCTCCAGCGGCAGCAGCTGGCTGTAGTTTAAGACTCAGTCACAACAGGACATTTGTCAGGAGGGCCAAAAGAAGTGCAGGCCCCAGGCACACCAGCTTCCCATCTGATCTCTGCAACTGCGGGCATATCTGTTTCCATGCTCTGCAGCCCTCCTATTAAGGGAATGTTTCTCAGACCACATCATTGTCAAAATGAGATCTCAAGACTGTCAGTAATCCCCACGTGGGGATACAGTGACAGCTTGCGGCTTTCCCTGTGAACTGCAGGGTCAGTCAGGAGCTCCAGGGGAAGTGTCTTGGGGCTCTAGGACTCACACTGAGCCTCTGCCATGATTATATCATAGACAGCCAATGCTGCACAGAACAAGTCCTCGATGGACAGAGACTACCCCACTGCTCTGAAAAGCACTGTGGTGTCCAAGAACGTGCCTCTACTACCCCCAGACAAGATGCTTGCAGGATGCCAGGAATGAGGTGCACGGAGGTGCGCCTAATGCTGGGTTCTACACTGGTGCTGATACCTCCTAGCTCCTGGGGCTTCGGGCTGATGGTCATGGCTGAGCTAAGCCAAGAGAGCCCTGATGGGGCATCAGCGGGTGAGGGGCTTGCTGTCTCCTCCTTGTCCAGTGAGCCAGTTCCTGGCCAGCTCTGCCCTTCTCCACTCCTTCCAACGTGGGCTCATGTCAGTGGAGGCTGTTTGCTTCTGGAGGGCAGTATAGTGACATAGTCCCCAAACTTCAAGTGATGTTTGGGCAACTCCGTGAACATTCAGAAGAGGCCACCAAGGTCCAGAGAAGGTAAGTGACTCACCTACACTCCTGTGAAGGTCAGTGACCCATTCCCCGCCCTCTCTGGCACGGCATTGGTCTCAGCTGGGTCACGCCACCTGCGGTGTGTGCACACAACACAAGCTCAATGCACAATGACCCCTCCATCTCAGCAAAACCCCAGAGGGTCCGGGAGGCAGCAGAAATGATGGCAGGATGGGCTCTGCTCCTAGCCTCCTTGGCAGTCTGGTCACTTGGAAATCCTACTCCTGGACAGAGCAAGCTACAAGAGCTATCTACACAAGGTCAGAGGTTTGGTGCACACACCAGTACCTATGTCATGTGTGCTTGGATATAACTGTATGTAACAGGTTGATGGATATGGGAGAGACATCACATTACACTAAAAAACAGCCCACTCTTTCAAGCAATCAAACTGCTCTAATAATTCATTGGAATATGTGTTTTAAAGGGGAAATATTTATGTTTAAGACCTTCATGGCAAAATACTGGAAACCCAAATGCTCAATAATAGGGAAACAGGTAAGAAAAAGAAGTTGAGATAAGAAGTAGAAAAATATGAGTTGATTTTTAAAGTGACAACCATATTGGACTATGTTCTTAAGATTTTCTCTTCCTGTAACGTGATTTAAATTAATTTAGCAACCAGGTAATTAAAAAAGCATCCCTGCATGGAACTTGGAAGGTTAAAGATGTGGTCTACTTTATTTTCTTCAATTTCCTGGGATCCTCTCATCTCAAAACAGTACAAAAAAAGAAAAACAAACAAACATCAACAAAGTACCTCCTCCACGCTGAGGCCAGGGGCCTCCCCTCCAGAGTGGCAACCCAAACAACTGTTCTTCCCACCCCACAGAAGGAATAGGAAAGCCCCTCCACACAGGGTGCAGTCCCAGCACTGCGAGAATGGACTTAGGAGCTGCTGTCATCCACACTGGGGACAAAGTCTGGCCCTGGTCCTGGCTCCTTGAGTCACCAGCTTGTCCCTCTCTACACCTTCTCCCAGCCTTCCTCTCTCATCTCGTTGTACCCTGGGAGTGGGGCAACCAGCACTCTGGGCATACATGGGGAGTGTGACATGGTACAGCCCATGGGAGGGCAATTTGGCTATACCTTGTCAAAAGTGTAAATGCATGTGCCATCTGATGCAGAAATTCCACTTTCAGGTATTTACCCTGCAAATACAGACACCTGTGTAAAAAGGCTTCGGTACAAGGATATTTATTCACTGTGACACTTTTTGCATTAGTGGAAGACTGGAAAAACATG